TATTCCCGTTTTTCCCTTTGCTTTTCCATTGAATCTTATTTTCTAGATCCGATTCTTCACTTTTTCTTCCTGGTTTCCCCCTCACTTACCTATAGGCTGTTTCTAGCAGCGTATTCAAAGGAAAACATAGAACTCTGTTACATTTTTTTGAATTTGTGTGTGCGTATATGCATGCTCCATTTGTGCAGATGCCCACAGAAGCCAGAGAGGGCATTTGATGCCCTGGAGCTGGCGTGACCGGTGACATGACCTCCCGACCTCCTGGCATGCACCGTCTGCAAGAGCAGTACACATTGCTAAGCCCAAGCCACTCCCCAGCCCTCCAAGTCTATTTGAAAACTGCATGGCTTAAAATGTGCTTATTCTCGCTCAGTCAGTGAAGAGGGCAGACTCAAAATTCTGGGCTGGCAACCACTTTCCCTCAGGAATTTTTCTCATTCCTTCGCGTCTTCCAGCCCCTTGTCTTGTCAGTCTATGGTAGACTGTAGCTCCCAGTCACTCAGCGGCAGCAGCATTTACCTCTGTAGAAGTCTTGAGGCTATTCTCCTGATTGCTGGTACTCTGGAGTTGTGAAATTTCACAATGACATGCCGAGGTGTGGGTCTGCTTTCAGTAGACCAGTATTTTCATTCTCACTCAAGAAATTCAAGTTGTTCTCAATGTGGGGAAATTTTCTTGCATCGTTTATTTGAGGACGCCTTCCCTGTTCATTCTGTCTTTCCTACAGCATCCATTGCCGTCACCAATTCTCTCCTGTTTTCTTTGTTTTTGTTTTTGAGACAAGGTCTTACTCTAGCCCAAGCTGTCCTGGAACTCATAGCAATCCTCCTGTCTCAGTCTCCCTGAGCCACCGCACTCAACCCTTCCAGGTTCTTTTTGCCTTTCAACCCCTCTGTGTTCTCTAGACATCTCCTTCTAATTCTGTCACTTTAACCTTATTTTACGTCACCTTGCTTTGTCTCATCTTCTCAGGATGTTAGTAAAGGGTGCTTGTGTGAGCCTCATGACTTTTCCCTCCTAGTTGCCTTTTTCGATTTACTTCAATGTTTGATCTCCGTCTTTCTCCTAGAATTTCTCACACATGGCTCTCAGTGCCATGCTGCTGTTCATATTCAAGGGTGTGGCATGATGCCATGGATACAGGATGCTCTGGGTGCACCCACAAGGAATCAGCAAGAGAGCCCTGTCACCAGAGGGTATCATGATCATCCCCTCAAGTGGCTTTTTCAGAACACAGTTCCCTGCACACTGGCTTGGGGTAAGAAGGGATGTGGGCGCTGCACTCAGTCTAGGAGCCAGTGCTGTGAGCCGTGTGGGGGAGAAGGACAAGCCTTTCACACTGTAGCTCTTACAGCATTATCTCCCAGGGTCAGTCCGGGTCTCTCCCTTTCCCCAGAGTCCCAAGTCCAGAGGCTCTGCCAGCCCCCCTCAGAGGCATTGCCTTGGTAGAAAGTGTGGATGGCGCCTGGTTGTGGAAAGATGTCCCCTGTCTCCCCTGTCAGTCTCTCCACCCCTGTGACCATGCCCAGCCAGCTGCATGGGGCTGGCTATGTTCCCTGCACAGGCTGAGGACCCAGCTTTGTCTGTCCTGCCAGCCAGGTGCCATCATGCACCTGCTTCCAGCGTCGGGTTCACATCTGGTCCACTGGGCCTTCCTCCTGTTCTTTTATCCGGGGACTTACGCATTTTAAGTCCATCTGGGTGACATGTCACAAGTGAGAAGAGACACCTTCAACCAGCTGCTTGCCTAAGGTTCGGCATTTCCCTTTGCTTTTGTCACCTGAGCCATAGCTGTGTCTGTCTGTCTGTCATCTATCTATCTATCATCTATCTATCTATCTATCTATCTATCTATCTATCTATCTATCTATCTATCTATCTATCTATCTATCATCTATCTATCTATCTAT